GCAGTCACCATTCAAATCCTGAGAAGGATCAGTTCTGCGAGGGCTTATGGCAGTGGTCTCTACACGCTTCCCCTTTTCAACCGAATTGCCAATCGAGTTGGTATTTCAAACTTATGTTTTTAGAGAAGATTACCCCTTAGGAAGGAAATAATTTTTCCAGTCGAAACTTACAGCGTTTATTGAAATGCAGACCTCTTTAATAGGTTCCCCATGCAAATTGCGGAACTAAATTTACTCTCAAATGCTCCAGCCAATTCTCTGCTCTCTATCAGCCTGCGCTGGCCTTCTGACATCTCCTGGATAAGTATCAAAACCCCGCGCAATTTTATCAGAAATTGCTGTTTTGTCCTTGCAGCTTGCTACAAGCACCACTTACGTGGATTTGATGTTTGGAAAACGTGATTAACATAATTCATATCTCCCCATTGTCTCGCAGAAAAAGAGTGTTTTGTGACAAGCAAACAGAAACACATTCACACGTACAAGCACCTGGGGGACCGCGTGTAACATAGGCTACCTTATATTTTAGTTTGTACCTACTCGCAATTATCTTGCGGTTTTTTACGTCGCCTCAACACATTTTTGAAGATAAGAGAAGGCCATACTGCTTGCTATCAGATCGTTCTGTAAATAATTTGAAGACGTTGTAGCGGAGCGGTTGCTCGTATGTATTAGCAGTAGACAGAGAATAAAATGATAATTGTTAGGACAAAACTAACCACATTCCGCGCTTCAAATCGTCCACAATTGAAACAAGAAAGCTCCTAAGTTATTTAACTACTTTAGCAACTTTCTGGCATCTCGTGGGGACGGAGGGGGGAGGGGTGCACACTAATGGACAAGTAATACGTTTTCTTGTTACGTTACCTTTGAAGTTGCTCTATAATCTTGCCTTATATGCCTCCACGAGAAAGTTCAAGTAATATGTGGGCAGGTCGACAGAGGAAAAATCGAAGGGAGGAGTTGGTGCTAGCGTTAAAGCTCAATTGCGAAGTCTGGATTGTAACTCATAACTGAAGTCCTACAACCGAGCAAAGCCGAAACGTTAACTAACTTGCTGCATATCGAACACCATTTCAAAGGCGAAAAAAAGCAGCAATCTGTCATTAGCAATCAAATAAACTCTAAGGCCGCCTTTTTCAAAGAACTGAAAAGGAACAGCATAGAAGTGTGTGGTAAGCGCAAAAGATGCGTGGGACCATTATCAGAGTAGACCTTAAACATACATGATGTGGTGACATAGCAGATTAGAACATAATACCTGTGGAGTTTTCTTAGACTCAATCTTCCTACGGTTCTTATCTCACCTGAACACCCAAAAATAGGGGAAGTCTCATGGGAGAGAGAGAAAGAGAGCGAGAAAGGCAGAGCTGGATACACAGTATGGACAAAATTCGGAATCAAGAGGAGCTTCGCTTTTGTCTCTCAAGTCAGATGAAATGCAAGATATCACGGAATACTGAGAGGCATCGTTGAGCTTTTCAAAGGCCATTTTCAGTTGCCCGTAAATCGTGCAGGAGGTTCTGGAAATAAGAAATGCCCTTTTCCTACATAAACTCTAGTACAGGTGTTTTGTGGGAGGACTGATTCCTTTGATTCACGAGTTAGCTGGCAAGATTGTTGATTTGGGTACTGTGGACAGAAAGTTTTGATTCATAAAAGACGTAACTCAATAATCTAAATATTAGGAACTTGCCTTTGCTGAGAAGCTTATTTAGAATTGTTTTTGGGTAAGCAGAAGCGAGCTTTACCTTACTTCAAAAAATCATTTGTATTGTGTTTATGACTCACTTAATGTGAAAAGGAGACTAGTACGCACTCTATCTTGCAAAAACACCTTTAGATTGGATCAAAAGCAATAGAGGTTGGTAGCAGTGATTTTGCTGCAAATTGTTTTCTAAAACTTTGGGCACACAGACTACTCAATGAAACTTTTACTACGTCGGAAGATAACCTTTCCAACTATGAAGCAACTTCCCTCTTTAAGCCGGGATGTTGATGAAGAGCAACAAAATGACTAAGTTAGAATCGAGAGCAAGGTCGCTTAGAATCCAACACATGCATGTATTAGAGCCAAATTGCGCATTATATTTGAAAAATACATCTGCATTTTGTCATTTCAATCAAAACATTGCACAGAGCTGTTCAAGCGGTTTAGATTTAACAAAAGTTCCCGTTTTTTGAGATTTAAGCATGCTTTGGTTATGAGCGGTTGTTGAACTTAAGCAACATTAGCAACGCAAATTCGTTTGGAGTACTAGCAGGGAGTAAGTGTAGTATTCACCAGGTTTCAAACACAGTGCAATCAGTATATCAGTTGCTGCACGATTTAGATCAGCATCGATGAGGAAAAAAGACCCGAAAACCAAATTTGACCCGTTTTGAATCTCGAAATTTTTTGGCCTATCATCTCACACTCTGGCGATAAAGTAGAACTAAATCGTGTCTGCAAGTCCAAAAATACGCTGCATTTGATTGTTGTAGTTCCATCCATAGGAGTGGGCAATGAGGTGGATATGGCAAATTTTCTAAATTAAAGAAATGAGCAGTATTATATACAAGTTTTATTGCGCTAGAGTGCTTTTGAATTTTTAACACTTACTACTACTTAGATACTTAGATGGCTGTCTTCACTCGTCGTGCAGGCCACATTGTTTCCATCCGTTTCTTTCTCTCGCTAGCGTCATCCACGATGTTGGTATTGAATTGCGGCGGCGACGTTCACGAGGTCCAGATCCATTACTCGTTACCAGCTGAGAATTCAGCTGGTCCATCCGTGCCACGAACACGTCAATCATCTGGTCGGTGGCCTCCCTCGAGGACGTTTTATTTCGCGAGGGATCCATTCCAGAGTTCTTAGTGTCCATCTGTCTTCTGTCCTTCTCATTATATGACCAGCC